GCTATGGCTCGCATTGCTATGAAAACGCCATCGATGGTGGTGGAAGAATCGCATGACGCAGTGGCAAGCGATGTGGAATACAACTCTGTTATTCGTCAGGAATATGCCAATACGGTTTGAAGATTGATCTGACTTGATGGACAACCAGCGCTTACCTTGTTTTAGGTTATAGGGACGCACCGCAATGCGTTGAATAGATACATATCATACAGAGCAAGCGATATACGCCATCTTTCTTCTGCTCAAGTCATTTTCATTCTGACCCTCCACGATATTGAAAGCATGCGATCTGCGGCGGGACTTCCATCGTCCTTGGTTTCTTACTTCATCAATGACAGTTTAAACAATCACCCTGGGTTAAGCGTTTGTATGGAATCTGTGGCTGAGAAAGTGCGTTCGATCTGACACAAGCTCATCTTTCTTTTTCATTATTTTAATTCTAGGTCATAAGAGATTCCATCAATGACCTCAACTCTAAAGCATCGCAACAAGCCTTACCGAAACATCTTTCTTCTGAACTCCTCAGCCTTGTGGTATTAAGTACTCACCGGATCGCCAAGGCCCGTGACATCGCGTCTAAGTATCTTAACCGTCTCATCACGTCATTCCCATCGTTGATGTGCGACCCAACTCTGGTATTCGCGATATTGGAGGTCCTTACTTTGCTCCAACGAGCATGCGAGAATGAATTCATTGATGAGGTAAATTTAGCCCCAAATTTGAATAGTGCATAATCTGAATCTCTCAAGTACAACCCCACATATGAATTCCATTCGGATAGGAGTGGTATAACACTTCAATTGACGGATAGCTACCAAGTTCGGAATGACATACTCGGTCAACTCAAACGGATTGCTAACAGCTGGTTCGAACTGGCATTGGGTCGTGCCCCTATGGAATTGCAATCCACGCTACAAGTATGTAAATGTAAACCTCAAACGTCCTTTAATTGTACTGATGAAAAATCTCAAGAAATACCTAGCAGTCAATCAGTCCTCCTCCGGAGTTAATTCTGCTGAGCTAGGTGCTTCGGTGGCAGAAGAATTTGGAAAAGTTATTGGGCCAGTGCACCGGCAATTATGTACGTAGACAGCAACATGCTTATATCCTTGCTGATGCATTCCCTAGCATCATTGGCCTCATCATCACATTGGAAAGTTGATGGTGCCAGAGCCCTGTCAAGTCAAATCGCTATCAAAGGTTACTTTGCAGGGGAGGCTGCAGGAATACGATTAGCAAACCGGGAAAGTTTGTAAATTCCACTACATTGTCCTTCATTTGATTATGAACACATGGATTAGACCTTGACAGACTTGCGACTGTGCCCCCACAAGCTGCACCGTCAAACGAAATTCATGCCCTCAGATCCAAATTGCACAATACATTGGAGGAAATACGGCACAAAAATAGCAAATTGACTGTCCACGATTTAAGACGATTACTCTTCCGATGCGCCGCCACGCTTATATCTATGGAAAAGGTATGCTCTTTTCTCGGGCTCTGATATTAGCTAACCTTCAAGTCAGATTGATTATGACTTGCTGCATTATCTGGTCGCTCTGCCATTTGGCGTGGCGACACCTTCAGCTATTTCTTCCGGAATTGATGTTTGGGTCTGGGTGATTGCGGAGAAATGTGACGTAGAGGTTGCTTTGATGAGCGAAATTTTGTCTGCCTGGTCTGATACGATCAGGTCACACACAGGGATATTTTCTAAGTCCCTTAAGTGAGTTATTATCCATCTTCGCTGTTCGCACTATTCTGATTCGCGTTAGTTATGAGGACCCTTTCTATCATCCAATAACTTACAGTCCTACGGACAAGCAAACCATTGACCGAGGTTTGGCGAATGCACGAAGGCTTCTTTCCCCCCATGCATTAGTCTTGCAGATGCTATTCAGCCGCTTGCAGGCTGCTCGCTATCATAGACCTGGCGTTATGTTTATCATCCAGCATCTGGTCCTCCGTTCTGCTCATGCGTATAGAACTCTGAGGTAAGCTCATCTGTATTTTGTCCGACGCAGACTGCCTAATACTGCTTAGCACTCACGCATTGTCTCGGGAAGCACGGTTCTCTTTCCTTCTATTCGGGTTTGAAACCCTCAAGAGTTCGCACTTGGATGCATATTGCGAGAATGCGCTGAGAGATTGCCTCTATACGGTTGCCTTTTCTTGGTTTGCCGTCCGGCCTCAGTAAGTTTATTAAATTCTTACCCTTGACATGATTATCGGACACTATCTAGATGGTCATACGGCGCGAACCGCGTCCAGGTCGACGTTGACATTAAAGTTCTGTCTGAGTTCCTTTCATATCTTCAATCTGACTCAGTCAGAGGACCGTCAACCATATCGAGTCTAACTGCCACTCGGTCAAATCCAGCATGTGAGATTTTTTAGTTTCGTTGTTTGAATAACCGTATAATTCGATTATTAGATTATGCGGAGAGAATGCGGAATCTCAACTTGCCTTTGAGGCTGCTGACAGAAAATGAAATATTTCATCTGGCGGTCTGGGTAAACCCAACTAATGACGGACGGAAAGGAGCTGATCTTATCGGCAACACAGAGCGGACTTTATTAGATGTGAGTAACTTGTTCATACGTTAATAAGCTTTAGCTACATAACGTTTTCTTCTTAGATCTCTTGGTCTGGAATTGTTCGAACTGTCTGGAGGCTAGACCCAGCCATCGCCATCTACCTAACAGAACGCTTCAAGAATGCCACTATACGGTATGAAGTCGGGAAACTCGTTCGCTCAAGTACCATTGATGTCCTTGATGTCCCGGAAGCCATGCCGTTCCTGTTAGGAGATAGACTTGATTCTAATGTCCGCAGAGATTTGAAGGTTTTTTCCTATCTTATATTTATGCCAAAGTTAAAACTTAAACGATGTCATTCAGCATCTCCTTCTCTGGGCAGCAGTTCCTCCGGTGACTGCAATTACATTTTTTGAACCCCGTTTCAACAACGACCCATTGGTGTTACAATATGCTCACCGCGTGCTGGCTCAGCATCCAGTAGAATTGACATTCTTTTTCATACCCCAAGTCGTTCAGGTGTTACGACACGATAATCTGGGTTTGTCCCCTATAAAAGTTTGAAGTCTAAACTAATTATCTCTTCCTAAGGATATGTTGGCCATTTCATATTCGAGACTGCTAAAATTTCACAATTATTCTGTCATCAGATAATTTGGAATATGAAAGCGAATTGCTATAAAGATGACGCAGCCGAAGTTGTGAGTATCTATTATTTTGTTATCCGTTCTTCTAAGCCCTCTGTTGTATTCAACAGGAGGATCCAATGAAGCCGCTACTCGACGCCATGATAAACGACATCATAGCCTCTCTTTCGGGGGTTGCCAGGGCATTTTATGATAGAGAGTTCTCCTTTTTCAACGAGATTACTTCCATATCTGGCAAATTGAAGCCTTATATAAAGAAGACAAAACCTGAAAAGAAGGTAAATTTCCTGCTTTAGCGTCAAACTTTGATTTGACAATTTGAAGGCGAAAATCGACGAGGAAATGGCCAAGATTGAGGTCGACGTCGGTGTTTATCTGCCCAGCAATCCCGATGGTGTCGTCATCGATATTGATAAAAAGTCTGGCCGACCTTTGCAAAGTCATGCAAAAGTGAACATGCTCTGCACCCCAATAAAATTTTTCATTGCTAACAGTCTTGTTTTTAAAAGGCACCGTTCATGGCCACATTCAAAGTCCGGAAAGAGCGCACTGATATTAATAGTGACCCGGATTCCCTTCTCGACGGCGACGGAGGTGGCGTAGAAACGCGCACGGAGTACGATGTTTGGCAACAAGCGATATTCAAAGTCGGCGATGATTGCCGTCAAGATGTCCTAGCACTGCAGATTATCGCCATGTTCAAGAATATTTTCACCAGTGTGGGCTTAACTCTCTATCTCTTTCCCTACCGTGTAACCGCTACGGCTCCTGGTGTATGTCTTTCCGTTCAACCCTCTAGAGTGCTTAATGACTTTGATTTAGTGCGGGGTCATCGACGTTGTTCCAAATGCAACATCAAGAGATGAAATGGGCCGAGCCAAAGTCAACGACCTTTTGGATTTCTTCATTGCAAAGTATGGAGGCCCAGACACAACAGGGTTCCAGAAGGCTCGCCTCAATTTTATCCAATCCATGGCGGCATACTCGGTTGCCTGTTTCATCTTGCAAATTAAAGATCGACACAATGGTAACATCATGATTGATGGCGATGGCCACATCGTACACATCGGTTCGTTTGACTGCTAGGATGATGTTCCGTTGCTGATTTCCCCCCTTTAGACTTTGGTTTCCTCTTCGATATAGATAAGTTATCTTTTCTGCCTTGTTTCATGCTGAGGTTGATATTTTTGCCTTTTCGATACGCCCTGGGGTAAGGATTCTTGTTCCCTATGGATAGGCATTGTATACTTACCCTGTAATTAGGGAGTGAAATTTGAACCTCATTCCTTTAAACTCAACCATGAGATGGTTATTCTCATGGGAGGGCGGTACTCACAGGGTTACCAGATATTCCAGAGCCTCACTGTCAAAGCCTTCCTCGCCATTCGACCCTTCGCCGACCAAATCATTGATACAGTCCAACTGATGCTTGATACAGGGCTTCCTTCGTTCAAAGGCGAACCCACGATTCGTCGCCTCAGAGATCGATTTGCCTTGCAGTTGAATGAAAGACAGGCTGCAGAATTTATGATGGGCATCATACGCAATGCACACGAAAACGTCAGAAGTACAGCGTATGACGAATTCCAGAGAGTATGTTTTACCCTTTGGGGAATTGAAGATATACTGATTCCTGATCCATCATAGCTTCAGAATGGTTGGTGTTCTAGCTTTGCATTCTACCTTAACTCACCCAGCTACCTAGGTATACCGTATAAGTAAAGTAGTTCATAATCAGATATAATCTTAGAACGCCTTTTCACTGTCAGTCAAGTACCTTATAGTTGTCTCTGCTATGTTGGTGGTACTTCTCAAGGCGCTATAGCCAAGTGGTTACGGCGACAGATTCGAATTTTCTGCTATCTGTTCCTCTTTGAGGGCGCAAGTTCAAATCTTGCTGGCGTCGCATATTTTTGATTGCCAGTTGTAAGTAATTCGGATTCATAATTTTGACTGCCAGATACAGCTGAGTTGCAGGGTAGGAGATAAATATGTTGATTGATTTACTGCATTGTGTTTGGCCATTGCAAGACTTCTGCAGACATTATAATGTTCATATATTGGTGTCAAGTTGGACCCACAGTGGTGCACAAGTTATCATTGACGTAAGGCAAACTCCTTTGGCAAGCTCTGATCTGTCATACGCTTTTGACGAATGTCTGGCAAATATCATCTGGGTAATGGACATCACTTGGTGATCGCAAGGCTTACAGTGTGGGATTCATATATAAGTAGCTATTAGTTGTGATTTGGCATTTATCCGAGCATTGATTTATGTAGGAAATTAGGGTATCCGTTCGTAATTGTTTAAACTAAACGCTCTTGTCGCTTCAGGGGCAACTACCCAAGTCTCCAAGTCCAAACAGAATAAGGGTCCGTTTGCGCTGTATCGAACGGTCTTCCCCGATGTCAATTCCTCGTGCATCTCCTCAAGGTTACCCAGTATCGGGGTAATCCTTGCATAAAATTCTCTGAAAGCTACCTGGTCATCACGCAGGTGTGCACGACGCAAGCCAGCCAGAAGGGGACACTAAGAGGATTGAATAAATTTCACCGTGCAAAAACCATGAAGCCAACCTTGTCATTGATGGATACTTTAATTTGCTCCCCTTCTTCATCCTGAATCAAAATATACATCTGATACACGATCTGAATATGTTCTCGTTCAAAATCTTCGCATTTAAAACAAGCTCTTCGACTGTCTGGTATTCTTCACCAAGGCAATTTAGCGCAGGCAAACCATGAGAATAAGTACAGACATTGCTCACACGCCGTCACAGAGAGAGCATCGCTGATAAAATGCATCACATAGTTGAAGGGGATGGAAGTCTACAACTCTGGCAACAAGTTGATATAGACCAATATCCCAGTTTGACAAAGGGACATCTTGGATGCGGGTAAACGGGCCATTCATCCTACTAGTTTGGACTACTCGTGGCCTTTCGTCCGTGCAATATGGCTGCTGCGTATGCGTCCACTGTTCCCTTCTCCTACATCTCCTAACTTCAGCATACATACAAACAAGAATGGGCGTAATTCACGAACCGTAAAAGACCATTCAGATGTTCGTTATCGATCCTCTTTGAATTGAGGGCCACCACAAGTTTCTCATGGCCGCCTAAAGACCCGCGAAAACAGTTATCTGTTGCGCTGTGTCTCAGACGGAGCTTTCGGATAGCGTAGTAGCTTCCTATATTTGGAGATTTTGCGATATGTATCTGCTCATCCGATAACGCAATCTTGACAATGCGCCCTTCAAGGCCCGCAGACCATGGTCGATTCAAGGTTGGCAGCCTGGGATGTGTAGTATAGTCCGTCACATAGATATGCGGCGTTTGGTGTGGTTCACATGAAGCATGTAAAAGCTTTCACGATGATCAGAGACTGAATGCGAATAAGACTGACAACTTACCTCAACAGTGCAGTTGAAAAACTTTCCTTCTTTAACATCCTTGACCAGCTCGTAGGGAACTCCTTGCTCTGATTTTGATTCCTTTGAAGCCCAAGCCTCCTTTCTCCTAGGAAATGCATAAATGTCAATTGTCATAGAAAATTGAGAATGCGACAAACTTCAGCAAAGCCTTTAAATAGACATTACTAGCAAAGTCATCCTCTTTCAGGCGCACAATCTTGTTCTGAACGACCTTGGCTTCAATTTGCCCATGCGGCGTAAATCTCATACGGGCATTGTTGATCAAGTAGTATTCGCCAGGTCGCATATCTTTCGCAATTTGCGCAGCACCATCCCACATTTCGAATCCAAGGACGTATTCTGACAAAGAAGGCGGCCAACTATTATTCTGGCTCCCCATCATGCCTTCCTGCCGAGTATAATCTGTTGCGTAAAGAGTTCGGACACTTTCTGAGGTGGTGTATACCCGGAGAATCTTACAGAAGTAATATAGAATTAAGCAGGACTTGGCCAGAAATTGAGCCCTTGCTCACCTCAACTGTGCAGTCAAAATATCCGCTTGGTGGCACATTTGGACCAGCTTCACTGATTAGCCTGTGTATTCTTTGCGTAGATCGATATGATTTTTCTGCCATTTGCACCGACATCGCAGAATCATTTTCTGCCTTCTGTGTCACCCCTTGCCACCAATCGAATAGTCCAGAGCAATACTCGAGTTCTAAGGGCCCAGGGTCAAAGAAAGGTGAAAAAGGTACTCCTGATCCTCCCGGACCTAGGCCTTCCTTTTTGGGAGCTTGATTTAGTTCACCGTGGTGAAACTCACGTTTCAAAGGCGAATACGCCGCCCAACGGAGTTTGTTTTTATGACCTACACCGCAAATCGTGCCATTGAACTCCGTAACCTTGATTATAGAGTCGTTAGAGTCAGATATAGGCCTCGCGCAACAGAGCCCAAGGAAGGCACCTTGATATCACGGAGTAAAAGAAGCTCGCCATGCTTGGGGTGTGGTAACCATTCCTTATGTCGTCCAGTAAAACATGTAATCTTGAAGTTCTCAAAAGAATAATTGCTTGGATCCATAATTTGAACGTGACACGACCAATCTGAACATTGACATGAGCTTTTTGATAGTGATATTCAATCGATACATGCCTCCTTTCCGTGTTGGCTTTGGTTCCGATACGTCTGTGACAATTCCTGTTAAATGTAGATATTGAGTGAACCGCTTTGGGGCGTCGCCAATGGCAGTATAAATGTTCTGTACATCCCCTCCTTTAGACATCATGCAAGCGGCCGAGTTTCATGGCTACTCACGGGACCCGATCTAAAGCCTGCCTTGAACTTCGAGTGTTCATTGGGTTTCCGAATGAGAGACTGTGGAGGGCTCTGTGATGACGCAAAGTTATCGGACTGAAGTTGGTTGGTATTATCCGAAGGTGGTGGGCGAGAAGAGGCATCAGTCCCACAATTTGCTTGCTGCAAAGCCTCCCTTTTCTGTCGTTTTGCTTCTGCTTTCTGCTTTCGTTTTGAGGCCCTAGCTGACTTCAGGTCAGACTCCGCTCCACTGTTTGGGGAAGTCTCCAAGACTTCTTGGCTTTCTGTCAAGTTGGGTGTTTGCGACAAGTCATGGCGTTCCTCCTGACTACAATACCAACTGTCGACACCTGTTTGGTTCGGTGTACTTGCTTCAAACCACAAATGAGCATTTCCAACTACTGAGAGACATGATAGCGCACCCAACCAGGTATTCAGATATTTTGGCTCTGAATCCGCACCTTGATGTGTCCAGGATATATGGAGACCCTCAGCAAATACCAGAAAAAAAGGTACAGTACAGTTTGGTGGTATGGCTGATGCATGTCGTACTTTTGCCCCTCTTAAGGAGAGACGAAACTGATCAAGAGGACGAGGATCAAAAATGGAGAAGTGTGTATTATTCAGCTCGAAACACAATTTCATGGCGTGTTTTTCGCCCAAAGTATCGGTGATACAGGCCATAGCCTCGATTTTGTGCTCAGAACGGGTCCGTACACTCTGGAACGAACCATTGATACACTTGGTTTGATCAACACCATGGTGGGACATGTCTGTTGGATCCTGCTCGGCGGCATCTTGAAGTGAGAATATATCAGAGTCAGGAACAGAATGTTTGGAACGTTTAGTGGTCGCCGAGATGGGAGAGGAAGCTCGTTTCATGATAGCCCTAAGATGAAGGTTGACGATACCTGCTACTACCGTGACAAGTGGTAAGTAGGTTGATTCAAAAGCTCGTGATGTGACGTTTCGTGCCTTCTGATCAAATTTGTCACAGTGCTACGGTCTACCCCAAGTACTTCAAAATTTCTATAGTAAGTAACTCAGACGAATCCTTCCTACTTCCTTATAATGGATACTTCCAGTGTATATGGACCCATGCGTCAGCCAGAGCTCAGCGATGATTAGTCCTTGGCCGACTGCTTGCAAGTATGTCAATCCGAGTTCCAAATTTCTTTCATTTAGACAGTCCATCTAAACTGTCAAATATGATTCCCAAGGCAATAAGACTGAAAGAATGAGCTCCAAACTCATCCCCCTTGCTGAGGCTGAGGTTCCAGGCCGCCCATGCAAGCTCTAATCCTCGAACATACGCAGAATAGGATGCATCTTCGACATTTTCAAGTAAACTCCGTTGAACATCCCTCACCAGAATCTTGGCATGTTCACGCATCCGATAAATGCGGTCTGATCTATAACGTTTCTGGGAGCACTTGGCAAGGATAGTGCCCACCACAATTTCAGCTTCAAGCAGTCTGACTCCAGGAGTATTGGAGAGTGTGTGAGTGGCACATATGTAACGCAATTCGTCCACGTAATGTCCGAAGACCTTTAAGAGCTCCGGGGGAGGTTGATCATCCGCATATGCAGAATCTCCCAAGTATTCGTGTACCTGGTCCAGGAGAGCAACGGAGATGGGATCCGAAAGTGGCTTACACGGGGCTCCCTCAGCCAGGATTGGAGGTGTTTCGTCCAGCTCAATGGAACGGAACAGGTGACCGAGGGCTCTGCTAGACTCGTAATAATCGGTTTTTCGAGGAGATACCACTTCCGCAGCATGCCAGTCAGGCTTACAGCGGATAAGAGTTCGAGGAAGTTGTTCCGGGTCAAAATTTAGGGGCGTTCCTTGCTTGGGATAGTCAACCGCCTGATAATGAGGGATGAATAGTGCCTTCACATCAAATTTCGCCCATGACTTACATGAGAGCATAATTCCGCGAGTTTGAGGCAGATCTCATCTCGCATGCCTTCCTAGCTTTTCGCATTAGACAAATGATATGGACAAAATTTTACACGACTTACGCTTGATTGGTCTATGCATGCCAAATAGCGGTGTTCATGAAATTATGTATATATATAAGAGTATATGTACTGACCAGCAACCACAAGGAGTCTGTCTGACAGAAGGCCCTAGAGGGATAGAGTCATGAATGAATAGCAACTGGATAAACTGACTTAG